AATTTGTTAGAAATGGATGAGTCAAAAGCATTGAGCAAAAATTCTAACAAACGCTTGTTCATTGAAAACATTTTCTCATCATGATTGCTCCACTTGGATTTTTCCAATGTGGGCACAATGTAAGCACAATCAATAACTTCCCATAAGTTAATATTTCTAGATTGCACAAATAGTTTAAATCTAGAAGCCCATTGTACATAGGGGAAATTAATGAATTTTGGAGCAACATTTGATTCATAGCCTAAACGAAATATATTTATATTCATGATATATATGTGAATATATGCAAGCAAGACAAATGTAATCATAACTAGATTAGCACAAATACAATAACTTGGATCTTTAACTCAAGGCGGTTAGTCCTTAAATCAAAGAGCACCAAGCTCTGATACCAATTGTTAGACCCTAGAGGGGGGGGTGATTAGGGTCTTATGCTAATCTAATCTGATTAAATGCCAATTAAAACTAATAACAAAATATCATAGCAAGAATAAAATGTAATAAGATACATTAGCTAGGATAAGGCAATTTGAACAAATGGATATATCCTATCAATGAGATATTACAAGTATATGAGCAAGGATATATAAACTAACACAAGGGTAAAATAAACAATCTACACATGTGATAGGGTAATATGATAAGCAATACACAAAGGCGATATAAGATATGAAAACAAGAATAAGAACGCCAATGCAATCACAAACAAAACGATATGATCACGGAGTTCGGTCCCCACGACCTACGTCTCCGCTCCTCACCTCGAGGAGATCTCCACTATCACAACCGGGTTTTCTACGTTCACCCGAACAACGTTTACACCTCACAATACAATCACTATGTAATCACACCTCACACACTAAGTGTTGGTCCTAGCCCGTGTCCTCCTCCTCAAGTGCTCGGTTACAACCTCTCCCTAGGCACGTCAACCGACGCCACTCCTCTTGGATTCGACCCCGTCTCTCACCACACACTTCTCTCGGTGTACAAGTGTATTACAAGTGAATCCTCACAATAAGCACAATATAAATCAAATGATTTGTTCTCTAAACAAGGTGAGAACTCAATTAAGCACAACTCTAAGTCACTAATCTCACAACCCAAAATTATACTATGAATGTAAATACAATAAGCTCAAAAGGTTGTGTGTGAACAAAGAGTATCAATAAAACAATTAAACTCAATATATAAATCTAGCTTATGGAAATTAAGATCAAAACAATAAATAGCTAGAATTGAGTTTAAGGAAAACTTCTCTATAGATCAAGAGTGAGAGAGAGATGAGTTGAATGCCCAAACACCAAAGGATGATCTCCTCTTTGCTCTTGTGAAATTTGCTTCACAAACTAAACTCAAACAAACTCTTAAACTCTTTTAAACAGAACTTTTGACCTCAGGTTCGGTCGACCGGTGCGGTCGACCGAAAACTGATATGAAAACTGTTTATCTGATTTTGAAATGCTGTTTAAAAATATCAAATAAATTCCAAAAAATGTAAAACTTTGGGGAATGATTGTAGACATGATAATAAACATGCTACAACGACTGGTTTCGAAAAAGGACTTCCCAAATGAAAAATATCATCATTTTACAAAATAGTCCAAAACATGAAAACCTGAAAGTTGATATTTTGATATTTTGACTTAAACCAACTTTTGAAACTTTACAAAATGATTTTATAGACTTGAAGAAAGATGTAAACTATTGTTATGAAGTCTATAAACAATGAATATAGTATTTTATCAAAATACACATATAATACATTAAAACATGATTTCATTGAACTCACTAAAATTGATATTGATGAAATCATATATATGCATATGAGTATGAAACAAAAATATGTTTTCTAATTATATTCAATTGTTTCATAGTAAAACTTGAAAACTATCAAACCAAAACATATATGTATATATATAACTATATATATACAAAAACCAAAACGTGTATGTGTGTATATGATTGAGCTTAAAGTACTAACACACATAGTATAAATCCTAAACTAAATTACCCAAGCTTGATCTTAATCTTCAATAAGCTCTTCTAGGTAATCTCGCGGATAAAGCTTTAACTTGGATCTTAAACTTTGAATAGCAAGGCTTCACCGATATTCCGCCAACCTCCTTTGGATATGATCATTGAAGCTCTATTCCATCCATCCTCCAACAACGTTGTTTGTCTATAATAAATAAGAAAACACACATACTAGACAAACAACATTAGTGATAAATTATTTGTTAAACATCATCAAAACAAGAAGGCCAACAATTATAACCGAGCACTTGAGGAGGAGGACACGGGCTAGGACCAACACTTAGTGTGTGAAGTGTGATTGCATAGTGATTGTATTGTGAGGTGTAAACATTGTTCGGGTGAACGTAGAAAACCCGGTTGTGATAGTGGAGATCTCCTCGAGGTGAGGAGCGGAGACGTAGGTCGTGGGGACCGAACTCCGTGATCATATCGTTTTGTTTGTGATTGCATTGGCGTTCTTATTCTTGTTTTAATATCTTATATCGCCTTTGTGTATTGCTCATCATATTACCCTATCACTTGTGTAGATTGTTTATTTTACCCTTGTGTTAGTTTATATATCCTTGCTCATATACTTGTAATATCTCATTGATAGGATATATCCCTTTGTTCATATTGCCTTATCCTAGCTAATGTATCGTATTGCATTTTATTCTTGCTAGGATATTTTGTTATTAGTTTTAATTGGCATTTAATCGGATTAGATTAGCATAAGACCCTAATTACCCCCCCTCTAGGGTCTAACAATTTAGGGTTTGAGTTTGTGAATTCAATTTCGTAAGAGCAAGTGGAGATCATCCTTTGGTGTTTGAGCATTCACTCTTCTCCTACTCTCTTGTCATCTTTAGAGAAGTGTTTCTAAACTCATCTAGCAATTTATTATTTTGATTATAATTTCCATAAGCTAGATTTATATTGAGTTTAGTTTAATTGATTTTATTTATCTCTTTGTACACACACAACCATTGAGCTTATTGTATTTACATTCATAGTATAATTTAGGGTTGTGGGTTTGTGACATTGTTCTCACCTTGTTTAGAGAACAAATCATTTGATTTATATTGTGCTTAATTGTGAGGATTCACTTGTAATACACTTGTACACCGAGAGAAGTGTGTGGTGAGAGACGGGGTCGAATCCAAGAGGAGTGGCGTCGGTTGACGTGCCTAGGGAGAGGTTGTAACCGAGCACTTGAGGAGGAGGACACGGGCTAGGAACAACACTTAGTGTGTGTGAGGTGTGATTACATAGTGATTGTATTGTGAGGTGTAAACGTTGTTCGGGTGAACGTAGAAAACCCGGTTGTGATAGTGGAGATCTCCTCGAGGTGAGGAGCGGAGACGTAGGTCGTGGGGACCGAACTCCGTAATCATATTGTTTGTTTGTGATTGCATTGGCGTTCTTATTCTTGTTTTCATATCTTATATCGCCTTTGTGTATTACTCATCATATTACCCTATCACTTGTGTAGATTGTTTATTTTACCATTGTGTTAGTTTATATATGCTTGCTCATATACTTGTAATATCTCATTGATAGGATATATCCATTTGTTCATATTGCATTATCCTAGCTAATGTATCTTATTGCATTTTATTCCTGCTAGGATATTTTGTTAATTAATTTTAATTGGCATAAAATCGGATTAGATTAGCATAAGACCCTAATCACCCCCCCCCCCTCTAGGGTCTAACAGATTATTGAAGAAAAGATTAAGATACACCAGGGGTAACCTTTCTAAAATTTGTAGATTGAATCCTAACAACTTATTGCTTAAAAGAGCTTCTATCCAAAGCTTTCTGGTTTCCTCATTGATTGAGGAACGATTTTATTGAACAAGTTGTGTTGAATATAAATGTACTTCAAGCTCTTACGATCATCAATATTGCAAGAATTTTGTTAGACAACCCCTTATTTAAATATCAAATATCAATATCAGACGAGTCATCATGCTTACTTCAAAGGGAAAAGTCACTGTTAAGAAATTATGTGATATGCAGAGTAATATACATAAGGGAGCATTGTTCAAGAGCTTCTTTGAGATGATACCGTTCAATTTATTTTTAGAAAGATTCAAGGCTTTCAAGCTTGTGCAATTCCTCAAAGTAATTGGGGAACTGCCTTTAATTCCTCTAACTCATGGCTCTAACTGATTTAGTTGTGTGAGATTTCTGAATGGAGATAGAATTTGTCCATTAAAACAGTTATTTGATAAACGCAATACATATAACTTCCAAAGTATTTGATATGTCTAGATACATACACAATAATAAATAAAATAAAATAAAATAAAATAAAAAACTACAATGAAAATACAAGAAAGATGAATGAAGACATCACTTGAAGATTTTACCTGGAGCTATGTATCCAATAGGACCTTCTATTCTATCAGAGAGAGTTTGAATCATAGTGAAGTATTGTTAAGCCAAATCACTCAAGTGAGCACATATAATCTCATCCAAAAGAATATTGTTTTACTTAATATCACAAAGTATGACACGCCTATGAGTGTGATTATGAATATTTTTTAAAAGCAGAAAAACAGGATGAGATACCCTGTTCAAATATATATAGACATAGAATTAGAGTCTAGAATATACAAAACAGGCATAAAAACTAAGCAAAATATGGATAGGATAGGAACTGAAGAAGATGTTATCGGAGGGGAGAAGACCCTAGTCGTCACCCTCCAGATAACAGCTGTCGAGCTTCCTAACCTACCAGTGATCACAAATAAGATAAAAGCTACAAAAGAAGATGGAAAGGCTGGCAGAAGAAACTGCCAGAAGAAACCGCCAGAAAGCAGCCATCTCCAAGCTCAAAACTACTGCTACACTATAAACAAAATGGCAGAGTATCTCCAAGAGTTAATAGAAATGTACACACATCTGAAAATAAGGCCATAGAAACTTGGCACTAAGGAACCGAAAGCTGAAAGAGGAAGATTCTGCCAAAAACTAATCTCCTTAAGCAAAGTTTTCCCCAAGAACTTCACCCTCGTTAGCTTTGGCCATGTCCTGCAGGCCAAATTCAACTGCAGCCCTATGAAGACAATGAGCTTTTCTGCTGCTATAAGCACCAGTCCAGAATAATGTGAAACGGTCTGCATTAGAGACTATAGATAGAGGAGTAATAAGAGTATTGTTGAATATGAGGTTATTCGGACTGCTCCAAATACACCAACAGTGGCATGGAAATAATACCCTCCATAACATTCTTTGATTGAGGTTATCCAAGAATTTATCCTTATCTGAAATCATACTTGATACCTCCTTTGGACAGTGACTGAGATTAGAGGAAGGGAAAATGATGGACCAGACCGCAGAAGAAAAAGAGCATGGAATGAATAGATGATCATGAGCTTCTATATCCTGGTTGCAAAAAGGGCAAGAAGGATCACCTCCCCAACCCTTTTTATGCAAGTTATCTTTAGTTTGGAGTTTCTTCTTACTCAGGATCCAAAAGAAGATTTTGACCTTTAATGGCACAGGGGAATACCAAATAAAGTTGTGAAGAGGAGAGACAGTGCCTCCATTATTGAGAAGAGAGTAGAAGGATTTCACAGTAAAAGTGTTTGTTGAGTTGAAAGGCCACTGAACAGAGTCGTGCATGATTGGTGAAGGCATGACTTGATCAATATGCAAAAGAAGGTGAGTTATGTCCCTTTTGTCTTCTTCAGAGATGCCTCTTCTAAGAATAGGTTTCCATCTCTAGAGATTTTGATGTCATACACCCTGGGAGAAACAGAACTAGAGGGAGAAAAGGCTAGTCTAAAAACCTTTGGAAAAAGACTGCATAGAGAATTGTCTCCTATCCATTTGCCAGTCCAGAATTTGCAAGTCTTTACATAGCTAATAACACATCTAACAAAGTTAAAGAAGGTTGGATGTATAAAATGTAAATCATGGATGAACCTGGATGCATACCTCTTGGGGGTTGGATATAGGATTAGAATCATTTGAAGAGTAAATAGAGAAGATCACTTTACTGATGAGGCTCTCCCTATCCAAAGTTTTCCAAATCCACTTAGAGAGGAGAGATTGATTGAAATTGTGCATGTCAATGATCTCTAATCCACCTGCACGTTTGTCCTTACAAACATTTTCCCACTTAACTAGGTTTTTGCCTCTGTAGTACTGAGGGTTACCTCCCCAAAGAAAATTTCTCCTGATTTGATCAATGGCTTTGATGACCAAACAAGAAAGTTTGAAGAATGACATGTAGTATATAAGGATGGAAGATAGCACTGAGTTTATAAGAGTGAGCCAACCTCAAATGGATAGGGATCTATTTTTCCATAGAGCAAGTTTAGAGGAGAAGGAGTCAAGTAAAGGTTGTCATTCTCTTCTTGAGAGAGAGCCTCTCTTGAGCGGGAGGCCAAGATAGGTGAAAGGGAGAGCTCCAACTGGGCAATTAAACACTTCAGCAAGCTGAGAACCTTTGTGAGGAAATCTGCCAAGGTAGAATAGATTTGACTTTGAATAGTTGACATTGAGACCAGAGATGTTGGCAAAAATACTAAGGATGTTATAGAGGGCAGCTGCATCATGACTGTTAGCTCTGCAGCAAATAAGAGTGTCGTCAGCAAACTGAAGAGTTCTAAGGGAGTTTAGAACTCCTTTGAGATTGAGCTCTGCGAGGTCTCCTGCTGAGACACTGGAATTAATCATTTTGCTCAGAACATCGACAATAAGCAGAACAAGCATAGGAGACAGAGGGTCCCCCTGCTTCAAGCCTCTGAGGCAAAAGAGGAATTTGGTAGGGGATCCATTGATCAGAACTGCTGATTTAGTGGATGAAAGGATATGGTGAATCCAATGACACCAGATAGGGCTGAACCCTCTAGCTTCTAGAAGGTTAAGAAAAAAAATTTAATTGACACAATCAAAGGTTTTGAAGAAATCCACTTTGATTGCACATAATTCTTTGTTACCCGATGATCAATGGTTTATCATTTCTTGGGCTAGGAGGATAGAATCCAAAGTTGACTTACCACTTTGAAAAGCTGACTGGGATGAATCTATGAGAGATGAGAGAAAAGGTTTTAGTCTGTTGGCTAGGACTTTAGAAAATATTTTAACTGTGCTGTTAATGAGACTGATGGGTTTGAAGTCCTTAGGAGTCTCAACACCTTCCTTCTTTGGAATAAGGCAGATGAAAGAGTAGTTCATGTTGTGGAGGAGATGAGCATTTGAGTGGAGAGATTGAATGAAAGAGATAACATCTTGATGGATAATAGGCCAGAAGCTGTGGGAAAACAACATAGGTAGACCGTCTGGACCTGGGGATTTGTCTGGATGGAGATCAAAAACCTCCTTCTTGATTTCTTCTAAAGAGAATTCAACAACAAGGGAGGAGAGGCCAAGATGAGGGTTGGGATATAACAAACTCCAGTTAGCATTAAGTTTAGAGTCACTAATAGATGAGAAGAGAGTAGAGAAATATACATAGAAGGCCTGTTTGATGTCAGCATAAAAGGATATGATAGAATTATCTGAGATTAGGTGGGGAATGAAATTTTTTCTTTTTTGGAATAAGGCTGAGTTGTTAAAAATTGTAGTATTATTATCACCTTCTTTGAGCCATTGGATTCTAGATCTTTGTTTCCATTTGGTTTTCTCAGCCCTAGCCAACATGAAAAGGTACTCTTTGTGACGGAGCCTGAGATTGAATTCTAAATCAAACAACACTCTACTTTCCTCAATAAGATTCAAAGCATGGATATCTGATAAGGCTGAGGCTTTCTGTTTGGAAATAGGTTGAAAACTTTTCTCTTCCACCATTTGATTCTTCTACGAATAAGTTTAATTTTGAGAGCGAGGGATGCTGACGAGCCTTCTTTGGAAGAGAATGAATTCTAGCATGATTCAATGAAAGAATTGAAAGAAGGGAATAAAAGACATGACTTCTCAAATCTGAAAGGAGAGGAAGAAATGGTACCTCCTAAGTCAAGGATGATAGGACAGTGATCAGAGCAGGAAGCTGGATAGGCAACTTGGATGAGGTTGGGGAAGTGGGATTCAAAATTTGGGAATATGAAGAATCTATCTAGTCTGGCTAGGACTGGGATAGTTCTCTGATTGGACCAAGTGAAATTTCTGCCACTTAGAGGTAGATCAATGAGGTTAATAGAATCAATAAGTTTTTTGAAGATAGAGATATCCCTAATAGACTCAGACCTACCATTTCTCTCTTCAAGGCTAAGGGTTATATTGAAGTCTCCAAACACCACCCGTGGGAGAGAGTGAGAAGACCTAATTCTGGATAATTCCCACCAGCAAACTCCATGATCCTCTTTATCACGAGGAGCATAGACAGACATGACAACAAATTGCCAGTTAGAATGTTTGTGAGTGAAAGTGGCTCACACAACAAAGATACTAATGGAAGAGGAGATAGAATCATTTCACCCTAATAAAATGTCACCCCTAGAGTCAGAGGCATCCAAGGCAATCCAAGATGAGATGAGGCTACTACCCAACTTATTAAGAATACGAGGGTTAGCTGATTGAAGTTTAGACTCTTGAAGACCTATAAAATCAACTTTAGCTAGCTGAATACATTCCCTGACGAGCCTGTGCTTAGAAGGGTTGTTAAGCCCTTTAACATTCTAAGAACCGATCTTCA